AAAATGAGAGGAAGAACTTCAAACTTTATCAATATTGTTGTATAGATCTGCACCGGATGCACATAGGTATCGGCCAAGTAAGGTAGCATGTGTTGTAAAAATTGTCGAAACATCCGTCTTCCATAGCCTGCAACAATAAATTGATGATTCGAATATAACACATTTCAAAGTATTACTTCAAATAATTGATATGATTATCATAGAATCCTAAAACATAACATTCTTATCTATAGATAAGTAATTGCTATCAATGATTTAAGCATAGTTTTCAATAACTGAAAAATTTGTCGCAACGAGAAATCTCCACTTCTAAATTAGTTCACTTTTTTTAATTTACTTCATTCTATGCAAAGGGTGAATTTAATTTTGCAGAACAAATAAGCAATGGGACAAATGAATAAATAAATGAAAACTAAAAATCTCAAAAATCCTCCCTCTCATTTAAGATATAGAATATTATTTTAATATTGGAAACATTTTGGAATGAAAATTACTAAAGAGCAAGGAGCAATTTGCAGTTACAAACGAGCAATTACGAATTTATATTTTTGCAAAATAATAATTATTATTATTACCTGGATAAAATAAGACCAATACCAGCTTGCCATTCATGAAAATGAGCTACGTACAGTGGTTGATAACCTTCGATCGCGTATAAATACTATAATAAGATTATCGATATAAATTGTTTTTTTTTTTTTGTAATTTAGCTAATTTCAAGATATCATAGATCGAAATTATTTTCGCATATATTTTTCAATCATTTGAAAAAGGACAGGAAATTAACCTTTTGGATGAATATTGCAACCATAAAACCCAATATGACAGCATCATTCGATTCGCTATCATGATATGGTATACCGATTTTACACGAATCCCATAGCTGAAATTGTTATGATTAACTGATGAGATCAGAGCTGAGTAATAAAAAGAAAAAAAGATTATTCTAAATTATTAATGGATTGATTAAAATTAATGTAAACATTTATCGGATGATTGATGATCGATAATGAATAATGCAAACAAAGTGGTTGTATAATCCAGCGAAATGCTGTGTAAGATACACAAAAAGGGGTTTTTGTAATTTAAAAATTTTCATTAATTTTTCCCAAATTACAATTAATTAGAACCTCTTGTTTCCACTGATCAAGTTTCCAAGCAGCCGAACCTATATCGAACAGTACCACTTTTGGGTAACCATCAATTAGCCATCTACCATAAGTAGCCTTGAAAGAAATCTTTTTAAACCTTAATTAATATAATTGATTAGTTATGTTATCCGTGGAAAGATACCAAAAAACAGAATGAAAAAAGAAGAAAGAATCAGAAATAGCTATAATTGTTACAGGATAATGATACCTTAAGGCCAAGATCATTTAATTGATCCATAGCATATTTCAATGGCGATGAATCAGGTTGTAAAATTTCAACCTGAAATTTCATGCAATTAAAATAACAACAAACGATCATATTGTTTGAGTGTAATATTCGCTAATGTTATTACTAATACGTACTTCTAACTTAACTCGTTCTTCCTTGTATGGACCCAACATGCAGTATTGATCGCCTAATTCTTCAGTTGTCACCGATGCTTTTGTTCGTAACACTGTATATATTCCACCAACTGTAAAATTAATTAATCTTTCCACTTTAATCAAGCATTAACTTATGATATCATTTTCTCATTTCTGGATGAATATTTCTTTAAGACTCAAATTAAACAAATGTATGTTAAAATTGGATAATGATTAATAATAAACGAAAAAAAGAAAAATAATGATTAACCTTTGTTAGCCACTTCCCAGGAGCATTCAAAAACAAAGCGACCTTCTCGACGTGCTTTTTCGCCATGATCCATTTCAGCAACTGTAGCATTTTCTAAGGCCTAAAAAAAGAAAAAAAAGTCACCCGTTTATTTTTCGTCTTCAATTAATTAATTAACAAGACACTATAAAATTTATTCAATTAACATGCTGAAAGTATATCACTTTGATTGCCCTAATTTTGAAAATTAAAATTCAAATCTTAATTAAAAATCCACTCATACACATAATATTATTATTACTTTTTGACTTATTCTGTATTACTGATTAGTTTAAAAGAAACAAGCTTTTGAATTTATTAAATTGCCTTACCAAAAGTTCCCTGACAATTTTTGTATGCGTAAGTCTACGTGACAAACGTCTTTGAGGTGTTGTCGATCCCGACATCTAAATAAATTTGAAAAGAATCA